GCAGGAGGAGGGATAAGGAGGATTCAAAGGGAGGGAGAATCGACGAGGGAGGGGGAGAAGGGAAGGGTACGACGAGGAATGGGAGGGAAGAGAGGGGACGGGGCCTGCTCGCCACCCGTCTGTCTGTGAGTTGTCGTCGTCGCTGTCCATCATCGTCGCCGCCGCCGCCGCCGTCGTCGTCGTCGTCGTCGTCGTCGTCGTCGTCGTCGTAGTCGTCGTCGTAGTCGTCGTCCTCACGGACTTGCTCTCGCAGACGCTCACGGCCAGACAGTCACAGCGGGGCTTGCCAGGAAATGGTATGCACACATCGGGACGTCTTCGCGCCGAGCAATGGACGGTCCCCGGGCCCGGCGAGAACCCCTGGAAGTCGAAAGCGGCCCAGAACTCCCCGTCGTTTTTTTTCACGACCGGCACCCACGCCGAAGGACTGCACGGCCCGAGCGTGCTCAGTTCCTTCCCGCGCGCTTCCCTCCGCCTGCTGTCCACCGTGCACAATCGGGCCATGTGCACCTCCGCCGTCTGCCTTCGGACGCGACCAGACTACTCCTCGCTGCGACAAATCAGTTCTTTCCCACGACGCGCGAGCACGCGTGGGGGGTCGGCGCTCCCCCGGCCCGACGTCGCCGAGGACGCGAGGACAAGGACGAGGACGAGGACGAGGACGAGTACGAGCACGACGACGACGACGACGACGGCGGCGGCGGCGGGCCGCCTGCTGCGCGCAAGCCCGCCGAGAGGCCGGCGGCTCCGTCGCGCCCGCTGGCGGGCCCGCCCGCCTCGGCGGCCGCCGCTCCGCGCCGCCGCCGCCGAGGCCGGCGCCGCGCGGAGGCCAGCGGCGAGGGCGCTGCCGGTCGGCGGGCGGCGGGGTCCGAACCCCACCCTCTTGGGAGCCTCAGATCCTCCCAGACCTCCTCGCGCTGCGACGAGATCACGGCGGGCGGCTTTTCGCCACTTCCGGCCTCCGGGAGCCCTTCCCGGGACCGTCAAACAACCATGCAGGGTGAAAACCCGGTCCCGGGGAAGGAGTCCAGACCTCTCTGGGGGTCGAAGTTGTGAAAAAATCACGACGTCGGGGGTCTGGGCTGGCGTTGCATTTTTCTCTTGCGGGGGACTTTGCCCCGTTTCGGGCCCCAGGACCCTCACCGATCGATCCAGTTCGGAACGTGGCGCAGAAAAAGATGGGGCCCGGGGCTCCGGTGGTGATTTTGACGATGCTGCATGTGTTCCGCGATGTCGGATCCGAGGGGACCCAGAGATCCGACGTCGTGATCTTTTCAATACGGGGTAAGCTCGGGGGTGGACAGAAACTCCAACAGTGACACGTCGATTAGGGAATTGTCCGTTTTCGGCTCTCGAGATGGCGCCGTGGCCGTTATTATTTTCCAGGCTTGCGCCCGCCAGGTTTGGGCCTCAGATCGTTTTCACTAAACCACGTTTTACTAAAGGGGCGTCTGTCCATCCCCGATAAGCGGAAGGGTCGACCCATTCCCCAGGACCGGTTCTTCGTCCCGAGTCGCTTCTTGACGGCCCCGAGGGCCGGCGAGGCCCCCCTGAGGGCCGAGGCCTGCGAAAAGCCCCCGTCTTGATTCTTCCAGTGCGTTGGAGGAGGAGGAGGAGGAGGAGGAGGAGGAGGAGGAGAGGAGAGGAGGGGGAGGTATGGGGGAGGAGGAGGAGGAGGAGGGGGAGGAGGAGGAGGAGGAGGAGGAGGAGGAGGAGGAGGAGGAGGAGGAGGAGGAGGAGGGAGGATGGAGGAGAGCGGGGAGGGGAGGAGGAGGAGGAGGAGGAGGTGGAGGAGGAGGAGGAGGAGGAGGAGGAGGAGGAGGAGGAGGAGGAGGAGGGTGGAAGAGGAGGAGGAGGGGGGAGGTGGAGGAAGAGGAGGAGGAGGTGGAGCGGAGAGGAGGAGGAGGAGGAGGAGGAGGAGGAGGAGAGGAGGTGCAGGAGGAGGAGGAGGAGGAGAGGAGGAGGAGGGAGGAGGAGGAGAGGAGGAGGAGGAGCAGGAGGAGGAGGGAGGAGGAGGAGGAGGAGGAGGAGAGAGGAGGAGGAGGAGTGAGGAGGGGGAGGAGGAGGAGGAGGAGAGGAGGAGGAGGAGGAGGAGGAGGAGGAGGAGGAGGAGGAGGAGGAGGAGTTGGAGGAGGAGGAGGAGGAGGAGGAGGAATAATAATAATATGAAGAAGAAGCAGATGAAGAAGAATAATAATAATAAGAAAAATAAGAAGAAGAAGACTAATAATAATAAGAAAAATAATAAACTAAGAATAATAGTAATAAGAATCATAAGCAGAAGAATAATAAGAAGAATAACAAGAACAATAAGAAGAATCTAATAATAAGAAGAATAGAATAATAATAAGAAGAAGAATACTAATAATAATAAGAAACAGAAGAAGAAGCAGAAGCAGAAGAAGAAGAAGAAGCAGACGAATAAGAAGAATAAGAAGAATAATAATAAGAAGAATAATACTAATAAGCATAATAAGAATAAGAATAAGCATAATAATAAGAATAAGAATAATAATAAGAATAATAAGAATAATAAGAAGCATAATAATAATAATAAGAAGAATAATGATAATAATAAGAAGAAGAATAAGAATAATAATACTAAGACGAAGCAGAAGAATAATAATAATACGAATAAGAAGAATAATAATAAGAATAAGAAGAAGAAGAATAATAATAATAATAAGAAGAAGAATAATAATAAGAATAAGAAGAATAATAAGAAACATAAGAAGAATAATAAGAAGAATAATAAGAATAATAAGAAGAATAATAATAATAAGAATAAGAAGAATAAGAAGAATAAGCATAAACAGAAGAAGCATAATAAGAATAATAATAAGAAGCATAATAAGCATAATAAGCAGAAGAAGAAGAAGAAGAAGAAGAAGAAGAGGAGGAGGAGGAGGAGGAGGTGGAGGAGGAGGAGGAGGAGGGGGAGGAGGAGGAGTGGGGAGCCGTGCTGGGCCACCTCGGCGGCCCTGGGTGGCCCGCCCGGGTCGTCTCGGAGGCCACCTGTGGGGGGCCCGCCCGGGCCCGCCGGCGGGCCATGGCGGCGCGCCCAGCCGTCCCCGACCCGGGCCTGGCCGGGAGCCCTGCGGCGGGGGTCAGCGCAAATCTGCACGAACGAAATGGGCACGGAAAGAATGGGTACAATGCCCAACAGCGGATCTGGTTCATTTTGAACAGGACTCGCTGTCCACGCCGCCGCGGCCTGTGTTCATTCGAGACAGAAGGCCGCCTGCCCAACCGCGGCCGCTGTTGGTTTGGGACAACAGTTGTTGTTGGGCATTGTACCCATTTTTCCGTGTCCACGTCGGGCGTCCAAACAAACGGGGGTCAGCCAGAGCGCTCCAGACATGGTCGCGTCGTAAAAAAACATCTCAGGACGGGAGGTTTTTGGCCAATCTCGGCCTCGGGGGGCCCTCGCCGGGCCTCGGGGCCGTCAAGAAACTGCTCAGGATGAGAAACTGGCCCCGGGGAAAGGGTCGGGACTTCGGGGACGCCGTCCTGAGAAAAGCAGGACGTCGCATGTCTGGGGCAGGATCTTGCAGGATCTTGCGAAGGCACGCTGGCATTGGCTCTGCAGGGTCCTGCGAAGCCGGACTGACCCTGCTTTGCGCTGACTCGGGCCAGTGCGTCCCCAGCGCTCGCCGATCCACGGTTCAGTCAGCTCGATGGGCGGTGGGGGTAGGCATCGGAATTCGCCGAATCCGCACCCTGCCCCCGCCTCCCACCGGTGCGGGAGGGCCGATGGTTGGTGGGGGGCAGGGCCTAGTGGGGTTCGCATGTCGCCACCCAGGTCGGCTGCTGGCGGGGGCGTGCCCAGCGCGGGTTTGCGCTGCGAGCGCATCAGGTCAGCATCGCTCAACCACTCCCCTCCCTGAGATCCCGGCGATGCGCTTCTTTCACACCGGGCGCTTCTGCCCGGTTTCCTGGGGTCCCAGGGCCACTATTACGGATGGGTCCGGCTCGAAAAGTGCGGCAGGAAGACGGGGTCGTCGGGTGTTGCCAGAAGTGTCCCTGGCCCAAGGTACCCGCCTGGGTGGCCCAGGCGGCCTCCAGGCCCCAGGGGCTTCAAAATGGAGCGGAAAGCTGGGGGCCCCTTGGGCCAGGGGCACTTCTAGCAGCACACGCTCTAGGGCTCCGGTCGTGTTTTTTCGCGGTGCCGCAGTTTTTTTTTCGCACCGACGGTTCTCAGGGCAGTACCATCTCGGCCATAGTATGTCTCGGCCCCACCCGCCCACCTCCCATGTGGGGGCAGGTCCTGCGAGCCCCGGGGGGTGCAACACATACCCCTTAATCGGGAGGGTGCAGTGGAGGCCCATGCCAAGAAGCACCCTGCTTGCCTCCAGGGTGCTGTTGGTTCCTTGGGTGTCGATGGCTCTGCGACGGAGAGCGCGGCGACTGTCCGCCAGAAGCCGATGGACGTCCTGGGGTCTCAGGGTTGGGCCTCTTGTGGAGGGTTGCTTGTGGAGTGGCCTCCGCTGTAGCCCCACTCGGGCAGGGCAGGTCGGCGAGTGGGGACGGGGCCGTGCCAGCGGGGGTGGGGATCGGTTGAGCAGCGCTCCTCAGGGTGGGGGTGCGCTGATGCGGGGGGAGAACAGAGCGCTCCCTGGCGCGGCGGGCATCTCTGGGGGAAGGGGGGAGGGGACGAGGAGGGATGGATGGAGGCAGGGAGGGAGGGAGGAGGAGGGAGGAAGAGTCGATGAGGAAGGGAGGGGGGCGGACGAGATCATGGCCTTGACCTTCGCAGTGCAGAGGGGGGTTCGGAATGCGCCCCGTTGTCGTTCCGTTGCCCAGGACTTCCCTCGATGCACACGCAAAGGTGAGCCTGGTGCCTGGAGGCACCCAACAACAACGAGCTGCACGCACGCTAGGTTCGCGCCGCGCCGACGCGGCGGCGACCCCAGCGCGGGAGCTCCAGGCGGAACGCCGCCCCAGTGGCGCACATCGACCGACATCGGAGGATCAGCGCTGCCGGAAGGC